CCTCGAAAAACCTTCCTATTCATTTTCTGAGAAATTATCCAGTACCAACTGAAGCTTGTTCTTCATGATTTTTTCATATTTTGCAGAAGGACGCCGGATGATGAGTTCGTTGTGAGTTCCTTTCTGTCTTCCTTTCTTTCTTTTGGCCTTGGCAGACGCCATTGACAAGGTCAGCGGTTTTCCTATGCAAAGTAACTTATATGTAAGACAACATGAAAATTCTGCGGGGAAGAATGAGCGGCGTACCACAGGCTCCCCAAGCTCAAAATACGTGATGTATGCGACAGCTTGGGTATATAGCTAATTATATGGGAAAATCACCGATCGTAAAAAAAATTGTGTAAATAACTATCTCATTTGAAATAATGTTTTCCTACCTCAAATGTGTCGCGTATTTGTCTCTTGTGTCTCTTGTGCTGACGCCGTTTAGTGAAGTTATTCGAAAGCGTTGTTTCTAGAAGGAGAGACAACGGTTTCGAATAACTCCACTGAACGGCGTCAGAATGGTTTAAAATCGGTACAAGAGACAGGCACGCGACACAATTGAGGTAGCAAAACTTTATTTCAAATGAGATAGTTATTTACACAATTCCATTTACGATCGGTGATTTTCCCATACAATTTTCTATATACATAGGTTGTCGCATACACCACGTAGTTTGATCTTGGGAAACCTGTGGGCTCACGAGCAACGAAGAGTAAGACCAGTAAGTTTATTGCTGTTGCTCCTGGATAAAATGATACAACTGTAATCGCACATGATATCCCCTAGCAACCAAACCCTTAATTTCAATGCCCCTTTTTCACAAGATCTCACAAGCTTCACGCAGAAAAAGTAATTTTGACAAAATGTTGTTTAGAAAACCATTCGAGAAATTGACTTACTGGAAAACAAAAGTGTATGACTATGTTAAAAAGCTTATTCGGTAAAAAGAAAAAGAAAAAAAGCTTTCAATGAGTAATTTTTTCTTTTAAATAGCCGCCAGTACTAGAAAAGGTGTATGAAGTAAAACATAAACTGGTAGTCGTATTAGGTCCCATACTCCTGCCGTCAGTCGTAATCTTCAGCTCTCCAAACACCATGCAGAAAAATTCCCCGAAAGCCTACAGCAGATGCAGACAGCTGTTTCTGCCTTCTTACAACAGCTTGTACCCAGCCATGTTTCATTCTTGTCCCCAGTGTTACTCGTTTTAAAATGAAATGGAGGCTCTGGGGACGAGAATGGGCATGTTCCAAAGAGCGCAGAGGAGTTGGGATGAATAGGACATGCGCAATGACAGGTCTGCAGCTCGACATATCACGTTCTCTCTCGTGTTCTTCTTCTCCGTTTGTATTACAGATTAC